GGAGACCCTAAGGCAACCTAGTATAGGGTGCACCACAGAGCTTCAACCACATTCCACCACATAGATTCCAACACACAGTTCGCGCCACACAGATGAGTACGTCAGCACGTACGCCATAGGTTGCGACACATAGATTGCACCGTTGCCAACAATATGTAAACTATGTACATGTTTAAAAAAGTCCAAAGCTTTATTTTGACTACCTGCTTTATTTTTTAAACGCTGGATGACTCTCTGGGTGCACCGAAGGGGTCCCAGCGGATGTTGAAGTATTTGGTGAAACGAGGCAGCCTTTTTCCGTGGGCCCCCGGTTTCCAGGGTTCCCGGTTCCGGGTTCCCGGTTCCTGGTTCCGGACTCTTGGTTCCCGGGTTCCTGGTTCTGCCTTCCTGATCGCGGGGTTCCCGGGTTTCCGGTTCCGGGGTCCGGGTTCGATCGATCGGTAGAGCGAGATCGATCACATCATCGACATCACTATCGATGTACATGCCGATCGCACTATGGAGTTGACTGTCGATCTCACGATCGTTCTCACCTTCGCACCAAATCTTCAAACCATTAACCGATTTTTCCTTGTGATATATATATATATATATATATACCAGAGTGCATTGGCGCTTCGCGCCATGCACTTTGGCCCTTGAGGTCTGGCACGCACGCTGGAGGGCAACAAGACAAAACGGCGCATGTTGCGATAACTCATTGTTGCCTTGCCTGGCATCGCCGTTGTAGTAATATTGCTCGTCTGAGTGAGGGGACCGAACGGTCATTCAATGTCCCTGGATGCGTGGCTTAAATGAGCATCCGTGGTGAGGATAATGCTTGTTGCGTTGTTGTTGTTGGTGTTGTTGTTGCTGTTGTTGTTGCTGTTGTTGTTTTTGTGTTTGTTGTTGTTGATGGTGGTGGTGTTGCTGTTGTTGTTGTTGTTGTTGCTGTTGCTGTTGTTGTTGTTGTTGTTGCTGTTGTTGTTGTTGTTGTTGTTGTTGTTGTTGTTTTTGTTGTTGTTGTTGTTTGTTGTCGTCGTCCCCCCCGCGACCCACCCCGCGACCCATCCCGCGACCCACCCGCGACCCATCCAAAGACCCACCCGCGACCCACCCGCGACCCACTTGCGATCCACCCGCGACCCACCCCGCGACCCACCCGCGACCCACCCGCGACCCACTTGCGACCCACCCGCGATCCACCCCGCGACCCACCCGCGATCCACCCGCGACCTACCCGCGACCCACCCGCGACCGATCCACATTGGTTTGAAGAAAATTTCAGCGCCTGCGGCGGGCTCGTTGTATAATGTGTGAAGCTTTGGCGCCTGCGGCGGGCTTCTCCAGAGTCTTGCAGACTGCCGACGTCCCCACCGCCCCCTCACTCTTATCCGCATCTGCGGGGTGCTACGTAATCCTTCCCTCATAATTCCTCTTCCTCTGCCTCAGTCTCGCCCTACCTTGCGAATTCGCCCCCGCCCTCAGCTCTTGTTGCGGAGGCTCATCCTAGAAGAGCCTTCTGGAAGTCTCACGAAGGTTTTTGAGGGCTTGTTGGGGCCTTCTGGAAGCTTCCTGGGTTCTTCTGGGAGCCTCTGGGGGCTTCCCCGGGCCAGCTTGTTTCCAACAGCAGTCTTCCTGAACGACTGGGTCACGAGATGGAATGAGTCAGAAGGCGTCTTGGGGCAATTTTGGGCCGTCATGGGGCTTTTCTCGGGCCATCTTGGGGCCCTGTTGGGCCGTCTTGGGGCTCCCTTTGGACTGCGTGGAAGCCCTCTTGGTTAAATTTGGGCGGTTCTCTGGCTTCCTGGGCGGACTCGGGCGCCCAGAAGACCGAAGAACTGAGCGTTCCCAGAATCATGCAAAATTCATAGAACAGCAAAGTGTTTTGCGTGTCGAATGCCCCTTTGGTTGAGGTCTTCGTTGGGTCATCTTCGGGCGTCCAGTGAGTGTCTGAGGCCTCTGTGGGCTCTCGCGGGGCCGTCCGGCCGCCCTCCTGACCGATGTGTGCCCGTTGCTTAGGGGCTTCAGGAGCCCCGGAAGGCACAGGGGACGAGGGTGCCCCCCGGGACGATGATAATATGTAGACATGGCAGCGCGCCGGATAATAAGTAGAGCCCCGCCCTTCAGACCTGAGAGTTGACTATCCCGGGCCAAGACAAAGTGGATAGGGGTAAAGAGGCGACGAGGCAGAATTTCATTATCGCCAGGGAAAACACGAATCGAAGTTGTGACCCTCATAAATGGAGTAGCAACACTATCACGAACGTGTGGTATTGATGTGGGGTTCTCACCATTTCATCTCTCCTGACTCACGAACGTGTGGCATGGCTATGGGATTCTCACCATGTCAGAATTCCCAACGTACGAACGTGTGACATTCCCGTGGGATTCTCATCACCTCGGCTTTCCCAATTCATGAACGCGTGGCAGGCCGATGGGATATATAATAATTGCTCCACATCGTTTGGAACACGTATGTTGCTCCACATAGCTTGCCGCTTGCAGCACGTAGCGCGCACCAAACACATATGCGTTATGCATGTATGTGTCGCCGCGCTGGTTGTTCCTACGCGCGGCCTTACGTCTTGGGGAGGGCGCCCCGGCCACTAGGGCAAATTCCGCCTCGGACGCAAGGTTCGCCATTGGGTTTGCCGCGGTGCCGGCTTCGAGTGCTTGGCCGCGTTAAGAACAAACGGCATAGCGACGAAGACACACACACACACACAAAAAAAAGAACACGCACACAAACACACACCAGGCACACGCACACACACACACGCATGCACGCACACACATAATATGTATATATGCATATATGTCTATATACATACTAACACCCCGCAACTGCGGATAAGACTGAGGGGGCGGCGGGGACGGCGGCAGTCTGCGAGGCTCTGACACGAAGCCGGCCGCAGGCGCCTCAAACTTTACAAATTCTACAACGAGCCCGCCTCAGGCGCCGATTTTTCGTTCAAGTAGTGCGGATGGGTCACGAGGTGGGTCGCGGGGTGGGTCGCGGGTGGGTCGCGGGTGGGTCGCGGGCGGGTCGCGTTGTGGGCCGCGGGTGGGTCGTGGGCCGTTTCGCGGCGGGGCCGACGCCAGACAAAAAACAACAACAGCAACAACCAACATCCAACAACCACGACCATCACCAACAACAACAACAACAGCCAAACAAGCAACATCAATAACAAGAATCCGCATCGCGGAATTCCACTTCAGCCACGCACCCAGGGACCAAGAATGACTGGTCGGCCCCCTCAATCTGATAATTTGTATAAAAGATGGGCGCCTGCGGCGGGCTTCTTCAGAGACTCGCAGACTGCCGAAGTCCCCGCCGCCCCCATCACTCGTATCTGCAATTGCGGGGTGCGGGTATAAACGCTTGACCTACGAGCCTAACGGGTGTTGTTGTTTCCCTGCTTTGCTTTGTCTATCATTCTGGCTGGTCGCCCGCCCCGATGATCATGCAGCTCTTGGGCTGGCGACAATTGAAAAGAGAAACATCCGAAACATACAACATAAGGAATCCTATTAGAAAGCGTTTCGGCTGGATTGACTGGAAAGCTTCATAAAAGGGAATACTTTGGAAAGCGCTACTGGGGATTTCTACAAATTGGAAAGCATCACGCCAGGAACCTGTTGAAAAGCACCACAAACGGATCCGATGGGAAAGCCTCAGAACTGTAACCCTTGGGAAAACACCACGGAGGGTTCCTGCTAGAAAACGTTGCCTTAATTTTTGTTGGAAAGCACAACGCTGGGACCCTGCCGGAAACCCTCAGAATCGGAATCCCATGCAAAACGTTACACCTTGATTTTATTTGAAAGCTTGACAGCAGGAATAATTTGGAAATCGCTACTTGGTGCTTTTCTCGGAAAGCACCACAACAGCAATCTGTAAAGTACCACACCTCGATTCTATTTGAAAGCCTCACAACAGGAATCCGTTGGAAAACACCACACAGGAATTTCAGCGAAAAGCCTCAGAATCGACATCTTGCGGGAAGCACCACAAAAGGGGTTTGATTGGAAAGCCTTACGCCAGGCATCCTTTGGAAAGGACCACACAAGGATCCGATTGGAAAGCCTCACAAACAGAAATCTTCTGGAAAGTGCTGCACAGGGTATCTACAGGAAAACCTCACAATCGGAATCTGCCAGCGCACTACAAAAAAGGGTTTTGTTGGACGCCTCACAAGAGGCACTGTTTCGGACAACGCAACAAAAGGACTACATTGGAAAGCCTCGCAGCAGGTATACTTGTATAAACGCTACGCAAGGCTCCGATCGGAAAGCGTCACGAAAAGAACCCGTTGGAAGCATCACATAGGGATTCTATTGGAAGCGTTCACAATCGGAATCTTTTGCGGGAGAGCTCACAAAGAAACGTGTTGTGAAGGCATTGGAGCCCCCAAACAATCGAGGAAACTAACCAACAAACACACACAGAAATTAAAGGCAGATCTCCGAGTAATCAAAAATAAACAGATGGAAAGCACCAGCGCCTCCCCCCCACCCACCCCTCACCCTTCACTCCTCCTCCTCCTCCTCCTCCTCGTTTTCCTCCTCCTATTTCTCCTCCTCCTCCTCCTCTGCCTTTTCCCCCTCCTTCCACCTCCCCCTCTTGTCCTGCTCCACGGGGGGGGCGGGGGGGGCAGGAAGAGGAGGAGGAGGACGAGGACGGAGGGGGAGGATGGAGGAGGAGGAGTTGAATCAGGAAGAGTGGGATGGAGGACTGGGGTGGGGGAGTTGACTGGAGGAGTTGTATTCCTCCCCCCCCCCCTTCTCCTCCTCCTCTTCCTCTTCCTCCTCCTCCTCCTCCTCCTCCTGCCCTCCCCCTATTCTTCCTCCCCCTGCGAACGGTTCGCGCTGCTGGAACAACCGCGATCGCTCAGGGTTGGACACACCACGCGTTGTCAGAAACCAGCGCCGACGTCGGCACGGCACGAACTTGCCGAGAACACCGATGGACACCGCCGGGCTGACGACTCTCCCTGCCGGGCCAAGCGCCGGAG